CGAAGACTTTACGATTGTCAAAATAGCGAAAATGTATGCACGTATTGCTTCGTATATAGATCAGTGGGAATTTCCATTTTGCGACTATCCATGGAGAAGGAGACCAAATTCACCCGAAACCTATAGTTGCTGGCACAGGTGCCCCAGCAACTAAAAAGATCCGCTGGTCTTACCAATTGAAAGTGGCGAGAGGTGAACTATGGCAAAAATATGTCAAATTTGAAGAGGTCGAGTCAAGTGACAACTCAACTACACCACTTAAATTAATTGCAATTCTTGCTCATATAAATCTTATCTTGAGCGTCTTAGGAAACTTAATTTATTGCCTATATCTTACTGGCTTGAAACAAAGGATCTCATCTTTTTTTTCAAATGCAAACAAGGCCTCTACGACCTAGATATCTCCTCTTTTGTCACCTTTTCTTCTAATCGCTCATCTCGCACCTGTTCAAGTAAGGACAACTTGCTTCAAGTCAATCCGTACAAAACCTCTCTTTTTAGAAACTCTTTTTTTTAACCGAATTGTCTTTCTATGGAACAATCTCTCTCCGATCATTCGTAACAGTTCGTCTGTTTCATCCTTTAAGCTCCACCTCCATTCTCACTACTCTTCTCAATTAGATTATTCTTTCGATATTAACAGAATGCGCACTTGGAAAACCTTCTGCTCTAAATGCCGTTCTTTCAACTTAAGCTGTTGCTCATAATCTAAACTATTAATTTTTATATAGCTATGTAAATAGTGTTCTAGTCCTTGTCTTTAATGTATGTCTACCTATTGTATTATATTGTATCAGGTTGGTCTTCACATGGGACTCATGTCCTGTTGACCATACCTTCAATCATTTTTTTTTTTTATAATTTTTGTATGACTGTAAAGTTAATAAATAAATAAATAATAAATAAGTTGTCAAGTGCATGCCCGAACAAGCTGAAACCATGCATTCAATTGTGGTGTGTGGCAATTCTACAAACATTCTAAAACTCTACAAATGTTTATATTTAATACAAATATCAAAGATATATTTGTTCACTATATATTATATATAAAACCTCAAACGCAAGATTAAAAAGAATGAAAAATAGGCCATTTTGTTCTTCTCTTTGTTATTGATATGTGTGGTTCAGAAGCAATTTTTAAACTATGATAATCGAAAAAATGAAAAGTAGAAAACTCCCGAAGTGCTAGAGTGTACACATGTTTTTAGGGACAACTGCTGAGCAACTTGTTGTCAAGTGGTTAAATTTATGACAGATGGGGTGGAATAGAAGTGCTCAATTTTCCTTGCAAAAGGAAATTTTGGTCTTTGCAAGTAAATAAAAGTTACAAGGAAATGGCAAGGAATTTTGTTGTCCGGAAGGAAATAAGAAATTACCTTATTTCTAATAAATTGTAAGATTACAGCAATTTCCAGTCAAATTCGCATCAGAAAATGTGGAGAATCCTGTCCTCAGGGTTCAATGCAAAATCTGAAGAATTTCTGAGGGCAAACACATGCCAACCTAAATCTGACCTATAGGTCGGCACATCTCGGCATTTTTTAAAATCTGTTTCCATGTCTTGGAGCAATCAGTAATCACATATCTACGAACCATTGAAATCGGAATATAAAGCATGCTGTTTTTTTCGGAAACGCAAACTACATTAACATGGTGACTTTTCTTTTGGAGTCTTACTTTAAAATTATATATAAAATACCCATCAATTTTTAGACCTTACACCATAGTGTGTTTAGTTAATTGAACTACAAATCAAATTCTATAATTGCTGACTTTTTACTGTCGTTCCAATTGAAGTGTTCCTCAAATATTGATTCAATACATTACCTCAGGCTGACCAATTCATTTCATCAAGTTCCTCGAGATATTCATACACTTCCTGTGAAAGAGCCAATTCCAAGAATTTGATCATTTCTGGTCACTTCCTTTCTATTTATGATTGGTTAGTTGCACAAACAACAAAGGTGATTGGTGCATTCAAACTATTCAACAGGAAGTTTACAATTATACTAGGAAGTGTATGAATATTTTGAGGAACTTGATCAAATGAATTGGTCAGCCCGAGGTAATGTATTGAATCAATATTTGAGGAACACTTCAATTGGAATGACAGTAACAGCTATCAATGCAAAAAAAAATTTTACTTTGGCTGAATTAAGGTCAGCAAAAATTTGCCGACCTTGGCAGTTGATAGGTCAGCATTTATGTCGGCATTGCCAAATGCCGACCTTGTTTTCGAGGGCTGGTAATGTTAGTTTTAAATTAGGTAAAATTTATCAACTTTAGTGCAAGGAAATTTTGTCAAAAATAGGGAAATTTTGAGCAATTTAATAAGAAGGATTTTTTTTTGAGAGTGGAAACACTGGGAATAAATTTATTTCTGTCAAATTCCTCAGCCAATACGGAGCTAATCTTAAGTCAAATGCCCTGGGGTTGCCCAAGGGGATGATTGCGGTTCATGGATTAATTGACTCATACTGTACAATACTGACTTGGCTCTTCATGTAAAGGCCATTTTACACGGTGCAATTTTTCTTGCAACTTGCAATGCTAATTAGTGAAATCAGTGAAGAATTTTCAATATGTCGAGAAAACATCAGCGAAGTGTAATAAAGACTCGTATTTGGCAATTTTACATCTCTCAAGAGTATAGAATTGCATTGCAAGTTGCAAGAAAAATTGCACCGTGTAACATGGCCTTAATAGACCTTTCCCCTTATAACTAAAATGTTGATCTAGACAAGTCTAGACAAAAATTTCATCACAGCTTGAAAGAGCATCACAAAATTAGTAATATTCCAAAGTTTCATTGCGAAATGTTATAAAATGCGGATAATATAGCCCTGCGAAATTTGCAATTTTCAGTCATTTTGTATTACAAACGGGAAATTGATGCCCCAACACCCGATTGGGCTGTCAATTTCCCATGCGTAATACAAAATTACTGAAAAATGGCAAACTTCGCAAGGCTATATTATCCGCATTTTACAACATTTCACAACGAAACTTTGCGGAATATTACTAATTTTGTGACGCTCTTTCAAGCTGTGATGAAATTTTTGTCTAGATCAAAATTTTAGTTATAAGGGGAAAGGTCCATTGCGTGACTGTGGCCCTTATTGACCGGCCTGGACCTGCAAAAACCATTAAGTTCCTTAACTTATTTCAAAAACTTCAATATTATAGTATTCACAATATCTATGCCACCTGCGTAAAAAATCAAGAACATTTTATGCCATAGATATCCAGTTTAACACCTACGGATTCCAACCTGGATGTGTGATCATCAGAGTACTTAAAGGATACTGGCAATAATTTGTCCCATACGTTAAGTCCCAGTTGATGCATTTTGTATGCGTTATTAATTATTATATAACAATATAAACTTTAAGTAAACTAGGTAAACTAGAACACACTAGTGAAAAACATCCAAGCACAACTATGTCCAAACCCACATGGGTTCCTGTCTAGTTCGTGCGAAGTCTGGCGACTAATGTCTATTTACATAACATCTCCCTTTAGATTTAAGATCTCCTGTTATAAGAGTTACTGTGATAATTATATTGCGTTTTAATGGTTCTCATAACTTAGAAGTCTATTTTGTTTCTCTTGTTTTCTGCGTTATGAAAGGATATACAGTAGTCTCTCATGCCGTCGCGCCGGCTGTTGTCTTTCTCTTCTTGGTCGATCGGTTCCTTCGTTTTCTGCTGGTCTAACTTGCTCGACCTCACCATCTGCCGTTTCTTCGTCTGTTTCACGATCCCAAGTAGATTCCTCCTCTTCTTCATCGTCAGCAAGCTGCATTGGATATTTCTCCGTTCCCACTAGGGAGTTTGCTGGTTTTAGTTGACTCGCGTCACGGCACAGTTCTCTTCCGTCCTTAATCCGTCTGATAGTGATTGACGATCCTTGAGTTTTTGTGATGGTGTAAAAAGCTGGCTCGAATGCTGTTGTCCAATTATTTGTCTTCTTCTGCTTCACCAGCACATAGTCCTTCAATGCGAACTTGTGTTTCTTTACATTTCTTTTCTGGTGTGCCATTCGTTTCGTGTACTCTTTGTCCCGCTTGTCAATTTCCTTCTTTCTCTCTATGATCGGTCTTTCGCTGAGCAAATTCCTCTGAATTGAAAGGAGGTCCGTTGTCTGAATCTACGCGTTGTGGGGTTCCATGGTGCGCAAACATTCGTTTTAGGTTTGCTTGGGTTGGATGAGGTTGAGTAGGTGACTTCGATTTCTGGGTAACGAGGTCGTTTGTCTATTACCACTGTCGCGTAACTTAGTGCGATTTAAGTCACGATGGTTGCTGGCTCACGATTCAAGACACTTTACACATGGGACTGTTTTTTTTAAAAATATATTTATTAAGTACAGATATTTACACTTGTTTGGTGCACGTCGTTTTACAATGATGTAAGTTACAATTACCCAACACGATTCTCAACTCTTAATTTGCGATTCAACTAACACACACATAACGCGTTCAACATGACAATAACCAATCCAAAAGTCAATAACCGATCCCAAACATCTATACAGTACCAATAATCTACCCTAGCCTATATTTATACTAATAGAACAGGAATACATATGTTCTCTGCCACAAATTTCCCTTACGTAAATGGAACTCGTTTACTGCTATTTTGTCTCTCTGGTGAAGCATCTGGGGATGTCTCCGAAGATTCGTTGCATTGTTTCATCGAATGCATCTTGTGATGTTTTGGCTCCAAATTCTGGTCGTTTCGGGCGATAATTCCCCCATGGGGTAGGAAAAGTGGCGACAGCTCGTGACCCTGGATCGAGGGCAGGTTGATGGTAACCTTTACGGGAGGTCCATCTTGGTCCAAATGCTGCAGTCATGAAATCTGTGGATGAAATCTTCTCATACATCATTAGATATTCATAGCATTTCGGCCAATGACATGGTTTAATTTACATCACGTGTATCTATCTGGATACCCCGTCTAGACCAGGACTTTAATTACTTCAAGTGGGAAGGGCTTTGAACAATAGGGAAATTGAGGCGTAAACAAAAGATTATGCAAATATATTTAATTGCTATGTTTAGAATTATTTCTAAATACAGTAAGTTGTATTTAGAAATTTATTCTAACTACACTTTATAGCTAACACTTTTCCTAAACGTTTGAAAACTACATAAATATAGGAAAACGAACTTTTTTACTAACTGTCATAATAAACAGCGCTTTAAACACTATAATACAGCAACTTACCAGTAATGTTTACCGTCTATAAAATATATATTCACTTCGGCTCTTTCATTTTCCACCAGATAGCGCCTTATCGCACACACAATCTGATATATCGTTTTTCGGATCCCCAACCTTGTCAGCCGAGCGACAATACTGTGCACAATGCTGTGCTCAACACTTTCTGGTTCTCGAAACCGCTTTTTCTTATATTATAAGAAGATACCATGCTCTTTTGCCAACAAAATTAATCTATTCACGACGAAAGCGAACTGAATGCTTCGTTGCACTTCATGCAAACTTTCAAGCGAATGTAATCGTTAATGCCCACGCTCACTTTTTTGAATATCTAATAATTTCATGCCTCATTGCTATGAAAGTCTAATGATGTATGAGAAGCAATTTCAAATCCTCGTTAGTGTTTTAAACTTGGCTTCCAAATCCCCAGTGCCATGATCAATGGCTCGGCTGCGCCTCGCCATTGTTCATGGCACTTGTATTTAGAAACCACGTCTAAAACACTAACTCGGATTTGAAATATTACTTCAACAATGGGTGTTTGGGATACTCGGCTTTGTTCCATGTATTTGTTGGGAACTCGGAGGTCGACACTTGCTCGGATCATATGTGTGCCCAATTCCTCCGTTGGAGTCTTTGCGAATCTCGGTTTGGGTTGTATCACCAGTGGGGAGCACCACGTCACTGGTTCATCGTCAGGGACCTGTTCAAATATGTCCTCTTTCACTCCTTGTTGCAACCATTCCTTCAGTGACTTTTGTAGGTGGTACGGTACAGGGCGAGGTTTCTGCGTTATTGGTATGGCCTCTGGTTGCATGTGGAATTGTCCATATATTTCTCTGTTGTTCTTCTTATCTGTGATTTTGCCGATTCCTTGAAATAGATGGTCGTACTTGGCAATTATCTTATCCATCTCCTGCTGTTCAGGCTGATTTGTGGTTGATTTCGCGGTCTTTGGCTTGTCATTCTCTATTCGCATTGCATTCGGGCTTGTCAATCCTCCATCCGATTGTAGTTTCAGCATTCCTAATTCTATCAGTGTATCTTTACTGAGGAGTGGTGATCAATTTATCCTCCCTTTCACGACAACAAATGTTGCGGGCTTTCCACAGGTTTGATTGCGGATGGTGGTTTCAAACTTCCCTTTTACATGGAGAGGGTGTTGCAGTGTGTTGAGTTTTATCTGGCACTGTTCTAATGTTGGTTTTTCATTAGTTCGGTGTAATAATGCTTAGAATTCATGCTCATCCATCAGGTTAACCTCGGCTCCACTGTCTGGTTCCATTCGAATAGCGACATCGTTTAATCTTACAGTCACAGTTTGTTCACGTTTTTGTGTTCCTGCAATTTTCTTGGCATGAAAGCTGTTTATAACCGCTTGTACAAAGTAGTCATCGTCTGAACTGATTGACGAATCTTCTTCAGTGGTCCGTTTGATTTGCCCCTTGGTGGTTTTGTCCCCCTTGGTGGTTTTGTCCAGTGCCTTGTTTCTGGGAATCAACTCTCGGGTTGCCTGCTGATCTGCATACTGTGGAAAAATGATTCTATTTCTTACATCTCTTTACAAAGGCTGGGCAGCTGTCTCCTTTTCGATGATTGTACCCACAATATTAACATTGATGTGGCGTCGGGCTGGTTCGTCGTCGTCTCTCCTGCTCCTGTTTTGTGCGGTTTCTGGAAAATCGGGGTTAGTATTGTTTCCCTGGTGATTGTATTCTATTAATCTCGTTTTGGACGTTCTGTGCCTCTCGATTAACTCTAGCTTTCACTTCCGTTTCCTGGGACGTTATATCAGAGACTTGTCGTTCAATTTATATTTTCCATTTGGGCTGCTTCGATAAGGAATTGCGTTAAATCCCAGGCTTTGTTGATGGATTTTTGATGTTTTCTCAATTGTCTGAATGATATGCTCTACGATCTTGTCGTCGTGCGTGTCGCCGAATTCGCAATCGGTCGCTTTTTCTCGAAGTCTCGCTGCATAACTGCTCGTTGATTCTCCTGGATTTGGTCTTACCTTCAGAAATTGGCATATTGTTTGTTCTTTTTAGATAAGTAATGACTATTTAATTTTGTTCGCAGTTTCTAATATGGATTACCCGATTCCGGGTTGGGCAAGCTCTTTTCTAATTTAGCTACTTGTTTACCGCCGTAAATGATGAGTGCATCTTTTTTATCTACGGGATCGGTGATTTTAAAATATCTAAACTCGCGTTCAATGTCTTCCAGCCATTCTTCCCAAGCGTTCCCCGTAGCACACGGTTCTTCTGGGGCGATAAATGGCGGTGAACTTAAATTTCTTGTCTTTTTTAATAACGCGTACCGTCGTTGGTGGTTTTGTCTTCTCGGCCACCTCCGATTCCTCGCCTGTTTTTAGCAAAATAAACGTATCTTTCTGACTTCGGGTTCAGTTTATACTTCGTCGCCAATGTTAAGTTTCAGTTGAAGCAGTTTCTATGCTTTATTAATAATTATAATATAAGTGTGATATAACAGACGATTTGATTGGCTAATGCGCGTGCATTGTGACGCAATAATGCACTGTGATCTATGGCACTGCTTTGCTCTTTCTCTGTTTTTTCCCCTCTTCATCACTGCTTTTTAGCCAAAATTATACACAAAATTATAGAGCTTTTAAAATACAAAATGTACCAGAAAGCAAGAAGGAATAGACCAAAGGAACAAAGCAATTTTCTATAATTCTACTTATAAAACTAACCGGCTCGGCATTCGTCGAATTTGTTGTTGTCTCGACAAGTTTTGGGTAAAAATGCGTACAAAATAGTCGGGGAAAAAACTTGAAAAAGATACAGCTGGAAAAGACCAAATACATACAAAAAGGCAACAAAAACTGAATATAAGTGATTTAGAAAGTACCTTCAATTCTTCTGATAATAACTACTAGATATATTTTCGGCGAACGACAAAAAATACAATAATTTCGAAAATTAAAACTGAGTAAATAAACATGACGAAACCTACAATTTACCGTCTTTCATGGCAAATCCAGCAACCCAGATGCTGAAAAACTTTGGAAAATTAGTCTGTGTGACACTGCTTTTTTATTTCCACTATTTTAAACAATTTTTCCGGCTTTATAGCATCAAAAGTTTGTATATTGTTTTGGCAATTTTTCTCCTTCGCTCGCTTAAAAATTCAAGCGACAGTAAAAGCATGCGCGTGACGTCACTGAGTACATGTTAGGAGAATTTCAACGTCGATCTTTTGAGTAAAATTGTTTACTATGTAATATTTTCTACTTATATTATAAAAGAAATAGAAAAACTCGTCTCGTGCGTTTATGGTGTGATAATGCACTTGGGGAATGTTGGGAGAATACTCGAGAAGCGTGTAAAACACTCGGCTACGCCTCGTGTTTTACACGCTTCTCTCGTATTCTCCCAACATTCCCCGCGTGCATTATCACACCATAAACGCACGCGACTCGTTTTCTATTTCTTAATTATAACAATCTAAACTTTAAGTAAACTAGGTAAACTAGAACGACACTAGTGAAAAACATCCGCAAACACAACTATGTCCAAAACCCACATCCTGTCCAGTTCGTGAGAAGTCTGGTGACTAATGTCTATTTACATAACACCATTCAAAAGAACTCTTAACATTATGTATTAAACTCTATTGCCGATTTGTCATATCTTGCTTAATACATGTAGTTCTCGAACTGACATATGCCACATTAACTTTCCATAATCTTACTGTAGATTTCTTTGTATTGGTATTTCAACAGAAAGTAAAAGACCACTTGAACAAAATAAAGGTATTTTTATTCAATAAGTTCTTTGTAGTTTCACATGAAGAAAGTATAATATTATATTGTGTATTATCTGTATATTTAATTCATTATCAGGAACCGGGGGACCAAGGGGGCCTTGCCCCCCCACCCTCCCAAGGTTTCAGAAGACACGCAAAAAGTGCCTTCTCTCCGGTGGCAAAGTGCCCTTTGTCTCATGAAAAATGTTATTCAGAAAATAACCTGCAAAAAAATAAGTGCCCTTAACAAGTAAATGTCCATGAAACAAACAAATTTATCTTTTCATTCATGTTTTTAAAACATATGTGGTCAAAAACGTTGATTATACGTTGCAATTCGAAATTTGAGCAAATGTTCAGGTATTATATTAAGCATGGAGTATGTGATTGCAAAATTGTTTTCCTTCAGTTTATTAAAGTTTTGGTTTGTTGTGTTTCGGTCTATAAACCAAAACTTTGATATTTTTTCAACTAATTTTTAAATATAGCAACTTCTTTTCAATGCAAATAGTTTGATGCTCTTTTATTGTATTGATACTCTGGAGGTGTACTAAAATGAAAAAATAGGTTTCTTGTGCTGCATATAACTTTATGGAAAACCTGCTCTTTCATAATAATTATTAGTGAGCTTTTGATCCGTCAGTGTAACCCTGATCTTTATCACTTCCTTGTGTTTTTCCACAGTAGGGTTAAAGGCTCTTTTTCAACTGATCACAAAGTCAACTGGCAAACTCTGCCTGCGAGTGCTTGCATCCAACTGTCGAGTATTGTGATTGGACGAAAGCACTCGCAGCAAGCTTGTGTGCTGACTTTTGCAATGAATGGAAAAGAGACATCTAATGAATTGGTCTGGAAATGGGAATTTGCTGAAACTCCCCAGGGGTGAAGTTTATGAATGCTTATAGGAAAAACATCAAAAGGTTTGGGTCACCGAACTCGTTCCGAAGATATGACAAGAATGACAAGTGCAATATGCCACCTTTTCCCCATGCATATGGTTTGGCCCTTTTGCGAGTTACCGGAACAATCGCAAATTCTCAACCGTTATCAAATTGCAAGGGAAACCATATACTATTATACTATTACTTATTAATAATATACATGAAAAACGCATTTTTAAAAAAGGCCCTGGGAACGAGGTTGGAAGAACTATGTAGTCATGTGCGTAAGTCGCATTTAGAAATTATGAAATGAAGAAAATTAAGAAATTTGAAATGTAAAAAATAAATATATGTTATTTACCGGATTGGAGGTGCGTATAGAGAAATATTTCTCGAGGTCTTAAAAACGGCCCGAGGCCGAAGGCCGAGGGACGTTTTTAAGACCGAGAGAAATATTTCTCTATACGGACCGACCATACCGGTAAATAATATTTTTATTTTTTTTAATTCCTCCTCTGGATTTCCTCAATCACTCCTCCCGCACGCGAATGAAGCTGCCAAATATAACGTCGTTTCTATCAATGCTATATCGGGAAGAGTAATATCTTTTGTGAGATAGTAAAGTTCGCTTTCATGCACTGTGTTCTTCATCGTCTGCAGACATTTTAATATTTTAAAAAGTAGCCTTTAAACTCGTCTTTAAATTTTGAAAAATAAATACATTGGCTGTACGGCCTTAAATCTCGCGCGGTCCGTACGGGCTCATACGGACCGCTCACGTAGCCAATCGATTGCAGAAAAGCGTAAAATATGACTTCGGACCGCAAGAAATAAAATAAAGAAAATTATTATTTATAGAATAAAAATTGCACTGCTCTTATATATGCTCTTTATAATATATAGAATTGAGAAATTTTTTAATGTATATTATTTTAATTTATTAACAGCAAAATATAATCGGTGTTACCGACCTTTTTTAATTAAATAGGAAACAAATACAACATACCTGGTTTGCATATACAAAAACTTAACTCAACATTGGCGTGAAATTTTTTACACCCGCCATTTTGCTTCCCACAAATTGGGCATTTTAATTTAATTCCAGCTGTCCCACATGCACATACGATTAAAATTTTGTCGGATGCATGGAATTTAATGAACAGCAAACCGTGCAATATGGTTCAATGTGTCGTGATCATAATCAGCCATGTTCTTACACATCTTCGAGTGTTTCTATTACGAGTAGTTCCATGGAGTAATAGGAACACGCCTCAACACCAATAAGCACTAATACTTATACAGAATTAATAATTAATTATAAACACAATCAATAATATTTTATTAGAGCAACCATGTGTCAGTGATGAAGTGGCTGGACTATTAGAAATGTCGAAACCAATTTTTGTGAATGGTCGATATGTGAGGGCGAAACTTAGTGCGAGAAGATTGGCAAAGATGAGAAAACAGTATATAGCAGATGGTTATTATTGGCCGGAGAAACCCCTGCGAGATAGATCCCTGGATATGACGAGTAAGGGATCAAAGAAAGAAAAAGCAAGAGAGGAAAGGTAAATAACTGGTTTCACTACATTTTCATTCTAGACCTATGTCAGTAACCATCGTGTGGGTCAACGTACTTTAAAAAATATGGGCTTTGTCGATTGTCCTGAGACTTTTTGGCACATAAGTCTAACTCCTCCCATCGTACATCTCAGCACTGTATATCATGCAGTCGTGCTTTATATATTGGGGAAATCCGAAAACTTTTGAGGTGAAGACATTTCGTGCTGTCATTCTGCCTTGCAGGCTATGCTGTTATTGGCAACGATGCTAACACACGCTGTTAATTTCAAGCTAGAGTGAATTTTAGTTCAAAACAAAACGCTCTGTAGAGCGTTAAGTCGCTGGGACTATATAGAATTAGTATTTTTGCACAAGTGAACATAACAAATCCTACACGTTGATTGGTCAAATTTGACGTATTAAGCCGTTATATTTACCTACAGGTGAATATAACAAAACAGAGATTTTAAAATGGCGTCTATAGCTGTCTTGTGAAAGTTGCTGATAAAGAAATAAGCGAAATTAAAATATATATTCAGTACCAAAAACACAAAGATTTGTGTAAAAATACTAAAACAATTATTCACCTCAGGCTTGGTGATTATCGGGGAATATTCACCTCGACTTCGTCAGTTCGTCTCGGGGAATATTCCCCGATAATCACCTCGCCTTCGGCGAATAATTGTTAAATAAACACATTTATAGGATAAGTAGCATGGCCTATATGGACATTTATTTATACTTGAGTAGTGAACAGTGGACAAAAATATTAAATTCCTAACACCACATGCATTTCATTAGTTAATTGTTTTATATTACGGGGGAGTTAAAAATTGCTGGCTGGTATTTCTATTTCCGCGCGGGCTGTACATGTCCACAATAGTTTTTGCCGGGATTGTAGGAATATTTTCAGCAAACATATAATTGTACAAAGTATTTCGGTGCTGCTCTAATTGTAAGAAAATATTTTGATTGTGAAATACAAAGAACTTTTTTTGTAGTCAAGGAATGGCGTACCAAACTGTACAGGGACCAGGGTGTCCCAAAAAACCCCGAAAACTATTGAAATAATGTATTGTTAGAATTTGAATGCCTCAGCACTCTGCTGAACCCACACGTGCATCAAGCTTGACGTAAGTAAATTGTATTCACAAAATAAGTTAAGAAGCCATTAAAGAAACTGTTTTAAATTCCCAAGAACAGAAAATCATGCGCTTTACAAAGATATTTTAATTTCTTTTAAAATAAGTCAATATTTAATATATGCACCCTTGTCAATATATTACGCATCTTTGCATCCAGCTTAGTGCTAAGTCATTCAAATTTTAACAATACGTTATTTCAATGGTTTTGCGTTTTTGTGGGGACAGCCTGCATGGTGCATGTATAGGTCCTGCTGAAAATATTTCAGAAATATCGTATCACAAAGCGTCAAAGTCTTTAACCCAAACATTTGTGTCAAACCATTAACTCGTAACCCTCAATATTCGCTATATTCAATACTTTGTGAAAAGTCACCCAGAAATGGCGGCGTGAGAAAGGGTAATTAAAGAAAAATTCGAAAAGTAGCGAATAATTTATCGACTGTTACTTGGAAAGTGATCAACTATGAAGAACTCTACAGCCAAGGCGACATTACTAACAACTCTAAGAAAAACATATTGATTAAAATGTGATTTTATTTTAACAATTGACGATTCCCCTTATTACGTTTTCGTAGCGCTTTGCGTTGTGGTTATAGTGATATCACTGATATTCAAGATGGTTTATTTTTTGTCCTGACCCGTGCAAGGACTTTTATAAAAAGCTATGGTCAGGTGCGCGATAGCCAACGGCAAAATATTCGCGAAAACATTCAATATTTTCATTTGAGGCCGCTATCTTTGTCAGTGATACCGCTATAACCACAATGCAAAGCGCCGCGAAAACGTAATAATGAGAATCTAGTATTCTCGTCTTTTACTACGAGGCCTTCATTATTTGTATGTAACTACGCACTAATTAATTTCAGACAAAAATTAATTGAAGAAAATATGAGAAAGATGCCACAAATGATTGCCGAGTACAGAGCAAAAATGAAAGATCTTCGTGCGAAAAAACGCGATCTGAAGGAAAAACAGAATGAAAAACAGTTAGAAGCACAACGCTTGGGTTATCATCCTAAAGATCCCAGAGGGTTACAGAAACTTTTGCAAGCCGAGGCATTGGAGGCAAAAAAGAAGAAACGCATGCAAAAGAAGGCTCTAGGTTCCAGTTAACAAAGAAATCGTTATTAGTGAACTCAGTGGCGGAAATTCGGTGCCCCTCCCACCTTCACGAAAAATGACGAATTTTCGGAAATTTTGACCTAAGAGGGCTAAAAAACCTTTACTTTTGTCGGTAATTCAGAAGGCCTTCCCTTCCCACTGGAAAAAGTGAATTTCCGCCTCTGAGTGAGCTTATAGCAACCTTTTTGACAACACCACAGATTAAGTATATTAGACAGATTTAGATCGCGGACGTCAAACACGACGTGAAAATGGCGTGGGCACAACATGCCATTTTCACGTCGTCTTTGACGTCCGCGTCCTCGATCTAAAACTGTATATTCTTAATCTGTGACAACAAGTCAATCGAGCCGTTATAAATGGCGAGTGATGGCGTCAGCAGTTCTTTCTTGAAATAAAAAATGGTCAATGGCAATGCAGTTTCACGTTCGTTACCATTTTGGTTACCATCAAATAAAATTCAATCCAAACTAGTGAACTCTAAGGGAACTATAGGCCGCCATCTTTGAAGCCACTCATGATGGCCGCCATATACGTAAGGCATCGAAAATACGCCGCCGAAAAGACATCTGTTTTTTAGCACTAAATAGCTGTATGTCAACAAGGAAAAACGCTAAAAACTTTCAAAAATACTTGAAATTTAATACAAAACTTGTTTCCAGAACGTAGAACAGTTTTAAAGTTATTTTCTCAGCAGTCAAAGTGGAAAGTTTTTTCGGCACGTTCAAACTTGTGTAATATTTTGAATGGGGAACTGTTACCCAGGAAGAAATGCTGTTAGTGGACTTCAAAAACTCATTAATAATTCATGAAGCAATTATCCAATCTTGAGTAAGAAATTAGTCACGTGCATACGTCTTTATACCAGCTAAAGAACACTTTAACAAAAGACCATTGTTATGCAAACTATATAAAGATTTTTATATGAAGATTTTTATATAAAGATTTTTATATAAAGATTTTTATATAAAGATTCGACTTATTATGCAAACGTTTTTGAAGCCATTTAAAAAACTCGCAGGTTGTGTTTTATTAGGTCTAAAGCCACTCGCGCTGCGCGCTCGTGGCTTTAAACCTAATAAAACACTCCTGCTCGTTTTTTAAATAGTACGTAAAATACTTAGAACTATCCAGGAATCTTTAAAATTGAAGCCTTTTGAGAACTATCCAGGAATCTTTAAAATTGAAGCCTTTTGATAAAAAAAAGGTATTTTTCTTGCTAATTTTCGCGCAAAAACAAACTTTTGACTGAATTTCCCGCTCCTCGAAACTCTCCCTAGTCCTTTTAAAAGTTAATTTATAACGCGCGGCTCCCCTGCTTGGCTTCAACCAATCATAGGACTTGATCACTGGAGTTATCGTTCCCGTTTACTTAGAGTTCACTGATTCAAACAAGAACGGCTGTCGCCATCAATAGAGGCTTGATTGATTTCCGATTGGCGTACGTGTCGCTTGCTCAAGCTTTTCTATTATTGCAAATTCGACTAAATGTTGCTAACTTGCTATATAAACGTTACATGCATTCAATAGACCATTTTCGAATTATGTTCTAGTTGTCAAGAACAGTAGATAGATTTAGAAGAAACGATGCGACGTGAAAATGACGTACATGTGCATCTCGTGTTTACTTCCGGTTTTGATCTTGTCTTTTTCTAAGCAAAATTTTGTTCACTTGTCGCCCGTTCATTTTTGTATTGTTTTCAATCGGGTTGCCAAGATATGTGCCTATTTGTAATATAAGTGGGATATAACACGTAATTTGATTGGCTTATGCGCGTGCATTTATAACGTCATAATGCACTGTCTTGATTTTTCAAAGAAAACAAGAAAGAATACGCCAAAAATAAAGGACAACGGGACAAGAAAGGCAGCTGTTTTTGAGTCTGAATTGGACTATAGCCGAGAAGAGCTACAGAAATACACGAAAATAGAAACAATCTACAAAAGGCAAAGAAATTTTATTAAGAAGAGTACCAAAAACTGCTTGACATAAAAATGCTTATTTGCTATAGAAGGATTACAACACACCCTTCTGCCGAAAGACATTTTGCCGAACGGACATTTTGTCGACGGACATTTCGTCGAACGGTCATTCTGCCGAACGGACATTTTGACGAACGGGACTTTTCCCCGAAAAGACTTAAGTACTATTTAAAGCACGCGTAGGAGTGTTTTATCACATATAAAACACGACGCGTAGCGGAGTGTTTTATATGTGATAAAACACGACTACGCGTGCTTTAAATAGCTTAAAAAACGACTCATCTTATACGAGTTCATTGGCGAAGTAATTTTTAAAATAAACTTTGTCTAAACCGAGAAAATCAAAGCTAAAGTTTATGTAAATTAACGTGAT